GCGTAGGTGAAGATGGGATCTCTCAGCTTCCGGATCCAGCAGCCTGCTGCCAGGCCTCCCTCACCACTGTGGACTCTCCCTCTGGAACTGTAAGCTGAAATAAACTCTTCCATAAGTTGCTTTGGCTCATAGTATTTTATCACAGCAACAAAAAGTAACTAATACACTTGGGTTCAATTGCTAGCACTATATAAAACAAAGCAGGATGGTCCATGCCTGTAATCCTAGCACTCAAGGTAAAGGCAAGAGTTCATAGCCATCCTTGTTTACATAGCAAGTTCTAGGCTAGCCTGGGCTACATGAGACCATTTCAATTAATTACCACACTAAGATACCAATTCATGCCCACCTGCATGGCCATCATTAAAAAAGCCTAAAAGTCAAATGCTGACCAAGATGTGGAGAAATCAGAAGTATTATACACTGTGGATGGAGATATGAAAGGTGCCATTGCTATGGAAATCGGGATGGCGGTTCAAAAAAATACAGGAAAAGATTTTAAGATCCAGCAATTAATTCTACTTTTAGGTATATACCCAAAAGAGTTGAATGTAGGAATTCAAATAGATCTTTGTAAACCAATGTTCAGAATAGCATTATTCACAATAGCTAAGCCGTGAAAGTAACACAAGTTTCCATTGAAAGATGAATGCATAAGCAAAATGTCATGTCTACATACAATAGATTTTAGCATTACAAAGGAAGGAAATTGTGACACACACTGCAACATAATGAATCTTAAAGATATGCTAAGTGAAATAAACCAGTCACAAAAAGATAAACACTATGATTCTATTCATATGAGGGACAGTCAAATTTATAGACAGGAAGTACAATGGTGGTTGCTAGGGACTGGGAAGTGGATGGGAATTAGTGTTTGAGGGATCCTGAGTTTCAGTTTTGTAAGATGAAATAAAGTTCTATGGATAGATGGCGGTGATAACTGAACACCAGTGTGAATGTACTTGATGTTACTGAACACTATACTTAAAAATGATTTAAATGGTATGGTTTTTGGGTGTATTTTATCACAGTTTTTAAAAAGGCAAAGGCAGAACAGAGGGGAGAAGAAAGAAGAGCTGCAAATATGAATGAAAATGGACTTTTTTGAACAGGGTTATATTTAAGCAACTTGGATGAGCTTGCTGTAAAGTCATCTTCTGGAGCCCTTGATTGATCTGCTTGTTCATCAGCAGCAGCATCGATCAGCTCTGCTTGGACACCTCTCCATCAGTGTTCACTTTTCTTTCTTTTCTCTTGATTGCCGAGTGCTGATGGTTTCCAAACTCTCTTTGAGGCTCTCCCTACCTTTTGGTACTTACTTAGCAGTGTCAGTCCTGTCTTCACATCTCACTTTGGGTGTACAAGCTTTCAGTAATTAATATCTCACACCAACCTTTCTGATGGGCTGTATTTTGAACTGCAGTTGTCTGCTAACCCCCCACCCACACCCCGCACCAGCATCTAAACTGTTTATACCAAACTGGACTCTGTTTTTCTTTGCTCTGCTGTTTCTGGTTGTAGTGGAAGATGCAGACACTTGGTTCCCATGCATAGAAACACACGATACTATGGATCCCTTTCTCTCCCTGACTTCCAGCTCAACTCAACTGTCAGCCCTATTGCATGTCCCCTTTGTGACCACATCTTGCACAGGTGCCCTTGTTTCTCCACACATTGCCTGTGCCTGGCTCATTTTTTGTCCCCTTCTGAGTGGACTTCAGCAACTGCTGGCTGCTCTTTGAGCCTCTGTCTCCCTTTAAGCTCTTGCTGTTGTGAACCAGACAGAAGAAAGGCAGGGGTAAGTTGGTCCTGTTCCCTCTCCTTGGGAATCAGACTGGATACTGCTCACCTTGAAGGGGAGCAGCACAAATCCTGAAATGCCCAGTGGCTTTGAACTGAGCAACAGCGCAGGGAAGAAAGGCAGATAAATGGTTGGCTATGGCCATGAGGTTGCTGCTCAAGATGGGGCAGGTCCTGTGATTCCAGGATAGCAGATCACTTGGGCACAAGCATCAAGCCAGCAAAGGAGGGAGAGCAGCAGCCAGTTCCCAGTACAGGGGGTTCACAAGATTGAGGCAAGGGCCAAGGCTAGGATGGGGTGGGGTTCCAGGCAGGGGACAGGAAGGTTCCTTGTGTAGAAGTCCTGTGCTCTGCCTGGGCTGACCAGTGTAAGGTGGCAGTTGGGCTGAGTGCTCACTGTATCCTTTAAACTCAGGGTACTGTACTTGGCAGCCCCAGAAATTCCTTTGCTCTGGTTCATCATGTGTGGCTGCCTAAGTCTGGATTATGTCTCCTTTACAACTTCTATGTCTCCAAATTTAACTGGTTTGCATAGCCTTAGATGGAGTGCCACTCTGCCTTGAAGCTGTCACTCATTCTGTCCAGCTGCCATACTCTTAGCCTACTTTACCTCTCTCACTGTATTTCCATTTTCTACCTTGAACTATCATCAGTGACTGACATTTTACTAAACTACCAGCTTTCTTAAAAAAAAAAAAAAGATTTAGCTGCAGAGATGGCTCAGTAGTTAAGAGCACTGGCTGCTCTTGCAGAGGATCTAGGTTTGATTCCCAGCACCCACATGGCAGTTAACAACCATCTGTAACCAGTTTCAGGGGATCCAACACCCTCTTCTGACCTCAGGGTACTGTACTTGGCAGCCCCAGAAATTCCTTTGCTCTGGTTCATCATGTGTGGCTGCCTAAGTCTGGATTATGTCTCCTTTACAACTTCTATGTCTCCAAATTTAACTGGTTTGCATAGCCTTAGATGGAGTGCCACTCTGCCTTGAAGCTGTCACTCATTCTGTCCAGCTGCCATACTCTTAGCCTACTTTACCTCTCTCACTGTATTTCCATTTTCTACCTTGAACTATCATCAGTGACTGACATTTTACTAAACTACCAGCTTTCTTAAAAAAAAAAAAAAGATTTAGCTGCAGAGATGGCTCAGTAGTTAAGAGCACTGGCTGCTCTTGCAGAGGATCTAGGTTTGATTCCCAGCACCCACATGGCAGTTAACAACCATCTGTTCCACATGCCTTCTTCTGACCCCTGTGGTCATTGCATGACATGGGTGCACTCACACACATTCAGGTAATACACTCACACACATAAAAAATAAAAATAAAAAAACCATATATATTTATTTTATGTGTATGAGTATTTGCTTACATGTATGCATATGTACTACATGTGTGCCTGGTGCCCTTGGAGGCCAGAAGAGGGCAACAGATTCCCGGGAATCAGAGTTATAGATGTTGTGAGCCAACATGTAGGAGGTAGGAACCAGGTTCTCTGCAAGAGCAGCAAGTGCTTTTAATCTATGAGCCATCTCTCCAGAGCCTTATGAGATTTTGTTTTGTTTTGTTATTTGAGAGCGAGACTCATTCAACAACCAATAGAACACATTGTGTCCCTTAGTTTCTTGGGATCAAGCATTCAGTAGCTGCTGCCCTCCACAGGCTAGTTAAGCTTGCTCACTGTGGTCTTCCTCAGAGCTACTTACTAAATATTTCCAGTCTTCCTCCCCTGGGCTTTGGAACACCACATGTTCTGGGAGGTTATATGAATAATTCTACCAATAAGTTGTGAAGGAAAGTGACATACTAGTTAGCTTCAGTTGTCAACTTGACACACCTGGGAAGAGGGAGCTTCAACTGAGGAATTTCCCCCATTGGATTGGCCTGTGGGTGTGATTGTGAGGTATTTTCTTGATTATTAAGTGATGTGGAAGGGTCCAGCAAACTGTGGGTGGTACCACCCCTGGGCAGGTGGTCCTGTGTTGTATAAGAAAGCAGGCTGAACACAGACTAAAGGAGTAAGCCAGCAAGCAGCATTTCTCCACCGTCTGTATTTCAGTTCTTGCCCTGAGTTCCTGCCTTGGCATCCCTTCATGATAAACTGTAACCCGAGGGTGAAAAAAAACCTTTTCTTCCCCAAGTTGGTTTTGGTCAATGTTTTTAGCATAGCAATAGAAAGTAACTAGGACATATGTGTTCTTTGCTAGAGCACAAGGCCAGTATGAGACCAGTGTTCTTTTCCCTCAGGCATGGTAACTAGCAATGTTTGAGATGTTGGCTGCTTGGCCAATCTGAGTCTCTGAATAATATAGGGAGCAGGGCTCTCCTTGAAGACCTGTGATGGGTCTGTCCAAAAATGATCAATAAACCTTAACTGCTTTCAGCCTCTTGAGAGCTGAAGGTTGTTACTGCAGCACAACCCAACCCATACTGATGAACACGAACCCTGTTGTTTTTTTTCAGCTCTAGAGAGCCAGTGCCTCATTGAATTCTGCTGGCTGACCTAATAGGTAGATGCTAGAAGGCAGTACAGCCTACTTAGGCATCAGAGTGCCTCAGCACTCTCAACAGTTCAGTTTCCTATAGAGCACCAGTAATGTCAATGCAGTTGTGCAGAAATGGATGTACCTTCCACTTGCCTCTCCATAGGCCACCCTCTAGAATAATTAAAAGCTGGGGATGATCAGGAAAGATATTCTATTAAGTTGGAATGTCCTTTTAAAAATCTCAACTCTGAGATACTAGTTTCCCATGGCCTTGACAAATTATGTTTTAGGAGAGTTAACAGGATACTCCTCTTAGTGGGCAAAAGCATTGTGTTTTCCAGAGAAGAGTTCGACCCACTTCCCCACAGAGGGAGGCTTCAGCATCGGGAGGTCTGCTTGCGATGCTGAATGGTTGAGGGAACAGCCAGGCCCCATGTCCTAAATGCTCTGTGAGCCACAGTTTGACAGAAGGCAGGCAGATTCCAGCCTGCTGTGGTGCACAGGTATTCCTGAGCACAGCAAAAAAACAAAACAAAACAAAACAAAACAAACAAACAAAACCCCAAAAAAACCAACACCCCTGTGTCTATATCTAATTGAAGGGAAGTGGCTATCTATGTAAGTGAACATAAAAATAAAAGCATTGGTATACCCTGTGTGTGTGCTTCCTGCTGAATCTTGAGAACATAAAATGACAAGAGAAATGGGCAAGAGACAGAGATTTAATTGAATAAAAACTCCAGGCTGTGACGGGGTGGGAAGAAACAAAGCAGTAATTAACAACATAATTTTTTTAAATGATGACATAATTAATTAACATCCTGGGTAAGTGCAGGGGGTAGGGGAGCATCTTTCAGCCCAGAAACACTGCTAAATAAAGGGGACTTAATGTCTTTAAAAAAAACATCTATGTGCAAATGGCCCTGGTTATCACAACTTCAGTAAAGCTCACCACCACCACCACCCAGGGGGATTCTTGTGTCAGGGGAAGGCAACAAATGAATCAACTTTGATTTTCAGTTTATGCTGGAGCAGATTTCAACTCCTCATTTGAGAGGGAGGCATCCTGAGCTAATGAAATGAGAAGCCTGTTCAGGTGCCATTCTTGGTTCAGGTTGAGGACTGGTTGCTCTTGTGGGTGGGTCTGGGGGACTGGTGGGAGAGATCCAGGAGCTAACAGCCTTCCTGGTCCTGTAATATACCAAGGCTGCTGGAGCCAGAGTAGTTGGTTGGGGTGGTGAGTAGGAAAATCAGGATATGATTTTCTGAAATAGCTGGGATGTTCCCTCATAGGAACGAGCAGCTGGACATAGAAGGGTCTCTCAGACAAGCAGTGCCAAGATTCATACTGACTACACCCTCCTCTCCAAAAACTTAGAAAGGGGCAGCCCACCTGCCTAAAGGTTTAGAAGTGGCAGTGGGCATGTACTCGGAGGTCACTTCTGGAAGGACACTCACACTAATTTCTGTGCCCCTTTACCTCTTGCCAGTTTAATAGCTGCACAGCCATCTTGATGGGGTCCATCTAGAGTTAAGAAACACAAGTTGGTTGCTTGCTTGCTAGGAGTCTTGTCATCATCTTGGGGTTTTTCTCCCTCTCAAGAGAACTTCCAACTACAGTACTGCCTTACTAGAAAGGTCTATCAATTAGACGATGTTTGGGGGAAAAACCATCTTTATACACCAGTCTTGAGCCTAAGACCATACAGAATAGAGTCTAGACTTATCTACCTTTATTTTTCTAGGTAGAACGTTTCTTTTGTCACAATAACCTGTTAACTTATGTCTAATCTGGTCATTCTTCCAGCTAGCAGACACTCTGAAAGTTAGATTGGCAGAGAAACCTGGTATCTTGACTTAAAATAAGGGTTGCTTTATGGTTACTGCTCCAGCAGTGTGTGACATAAAGAATAAGACATGAGGTATGTGAATAGCTTTTGTGTTCTTGATCTTCCATTGTTGAAAGAAAGGGTTTCCAGCTGACTTGCTTCACCAAGCCCCACAGCTCTGGAAATTGGTACTGTTAGTCACAAGCCAAAGTGGAAACTCACCTTCCCATGCTTGCAGAGCTGTACAGACTTGAGACTGAGCAGATCAATCTACTTCCAGGGCTTGGTGGGAAGGCTGTTAGTCACCCAATAGAAATGTGCTATTACAGATACAGAATAGTTCGGGTTTTTTGTTTTTTTTCTAAACTGAATTTGGCCTAAGATAGAGATCTTATGGACAAAACAAAAAAGCAAAAATCCCCTCACTACCACTGAAACAAACAACACTGAATACTTATTAATTTATAGAACTAAAGTTTAAGATGAGTTATTGTCCCAGTGTCTGTGGGGCTAAACTAGTCTGAGGCTGACTAGACTTCAACCAAGAAAATGCTCTTCATAGAGAGACAGACTCAAAATGCTGATTGGATGTCAAAATACCCCATTCAAAAAAGAACATTTTATCTAGATTTTTCTTTGCTCTGTTTAGGCATTTTAAACAGCTGCGTAGTACTTCATGGAATTATAAAGCTATGTATAACACAGACATTCTGGAACATATGCACCTTCTTTCTTTACAATGAAGGTTATTTTCGAGAACTAAGATCCTGTTTTCAAACAAATGTGATCATTAACTATGGCACATCAGAAAACATATGGCATGGTTAGTTTCAGCAGGATCATTCCTAAAGAAAGTGACCAAGTTCCCACGAGGAATCAGCCAACAAAGAGGGGAGCAAAGATTCCTCCATATAGAGTCACAAACACTGGAAAGGTCTCATAATTTCAACATGGAACAAGTGGTCCACACTGTGGCTTGTGTCACAGTAGTGAAGGGCTTCAAAGAAGAATTCGCCTCAGAAAGGCTCTTAGATGGATTTGTCTGATTATCACAGGACACTGAAAATACAGCCACAGCTCCATCCTCCTGCCGTCTCTTTAGCGAGCAGAGCTTGGTGGAGATGCAAAATTTCAGAGACTCAATTTCTCTTTCCTTAAAAAACATTATTTCACATTGTATTTCATAGAATCAATTTCTGCACTCTCCGCCCTTTATTTTATTTTCCTACTCCTTTTTTCTTCTTTTCTTGACAGCAGACCCATACAAAGTGAAAACCACAAAAACATCACCTTGGGAGACAGAAAAGACTAAGACAGATCTGACCACATGACAAGTGTCTTGGCCTTGCTCTACACAGGAATAGTCAAGACCATGGAGTGGCAGTGGCCGCTGCCGCCACTGCCATGACTGCACGACACTGCATTTAGACAGCTGAACAAGTGTGAAAAGAACATTGCTGAGTCCTCTTTGTGTGGCTTGGCTGTGCAGCTCACGGTGTTGGCGGTGGTTTCGGAGACGGGCAAGAGCTCTCGCTGTCGAAGCTGGCAGCTCGGCCCTGCCACTGTGGGAGGAGAAAAACCTGGTTATTGATGACTAAGGGAATTGAGATCTCAACTCCCAAAACTTCACAGGCCCATGCACTGTATCCACCTTTCCCGGCTTCTTAATAAGCTTTCTTGACTTGCTGTCAGCCATGCAAAGATACAAGGATGCCAGCTCAGAGCTTCTAGTTTGGAATGCTTGGTTTTCAGAGAAGATCTACTGCAGACATAATTTCAGCTTCCTTTACAATGTGGAGTGTGTGTTTTAATGAGGTGTTATGACTAGACCATTTCTGAGTGCTTTGGTCATTTTTCACACACTGAAAATCAGATTATGTTAGCAGCGAAAGAGGCAGTGTATGCCCCTACTGCCAAGAACCTACCATCATGAATTATTAGCAATTTGTCTGGGAGCTGTTAGCACAGCATAAAAACAACCATGAGCCTGCTTCAGTTTGGGCTTTCTTCTTCAGTCTTAATATACCCTATGAGCATTTGTACTGGCCTGTGAATGCAGTAGATGATGTGAGGAGAGGCATCCCTATCCTCCCCTGGGCTCCCTCAATCCCTTTCTCCGGCTCTCCTGTCTCACAGATCACTGTCTCCCGGTGCCTCCCAGCCCTCTGTGGAAGTGGGTGATGTAATGAGGCATAATGGAGTGAAGGAGGCAGCAGAGGATGGATGGATCTCAACCCTTCTTTAAATGACAAAGTTGGTCATATCTGTGTGATATTTTCTGACCCTGTGAATATTCTTGACCTGTCTGGAGTGGCCTAACTTCAAAATGAGTCAGTAGTCACTGGTCACTCACCCTTTTGTGCATTAGAGAGAACCAGTATCCTCCTAGTGTCTGCAGGATAGGTGTGAGAGAGAGATTAGGTAAGTGGTCAAGATGGCTTTCGAAACCACAGATGAGGCCCTCTCCTGCTTCTCATGAGTTATAGAGGTTGCTGTTGTGGAGTAATGGGGCCGAGGGTGCTGCAACCATGCATTTGGGTGCCTGTGGGAGTGGATGGAGGACATGGTTCTCCTCTCACAGCCCTTTGCAGGCATAGCTGAGCCAACTAAGCAGTAGACCATTTGCTTTCCAGCATCACCTCCAGAGTAAATGGGAAGCCCACAAGGCCAAGGAAAGACCTAGACCTCTAGAAATACTGCCAAGCTTCCAGTCCTGACAAGCGCCTCCATAGTTCCTCTCTGGGCTCCTTCTTAGTAGGCTCCTTAACACTCCCTATGTAGGCACACTGTACATCCTTTCAGCTAACCAAGGGCTACACAATCAGGTATGGAGGACTGCCATTGCATAGCCTAGACCTGAGCAATCTCTGTGTGTCAAAACCAGAGTAGATTTTGGACATGGGCCAGTCTCGCCTGCTTATTCTTACAAGTAAGAAAACAGAGACAAAGAGAAATCAAGAAACAGACAGTTAGAGGCAGAGCCTAGACTCCCAACTCAGTGCTCTTTCCATTCCATCCTGCTGCTGTACTGGCCTATGGCCACCCACAAGGGGAAGAAGAAGACACAAAATGTAGTAAGAGGCCTAACCTCTTCCAGTCCACACCAGGTACTTACTCCTAACTCCGGTGGCTGTCTCTCTGCTTGCAGCATCCACGTGAATGAAATCACAACCGAGGGGTTCCCTGGTGAAATATTTTAGATAAATAAATGCCTGGTTTTTGAGCCCACTGTGGCTTCTCACTCAAGTGTTTCTTAACCAGAAGGCAACACAGGATGATTACTAATGCTTTCATTTGGCACAACTTCATTTCGGGAGCTCGACTTTCTCAGTTACCACCTTTAATGTCAGCGAAAGGTACACAGTAATTACTGGCTTCTCCCTTGGGTAGGCCTGCCACTTAAACAACCTGACCCACAGGCCAGGTCAGAGAAGAAAACATGAAATGGCTCCATGAAGTACCTTTTTCCTTTCTATAACAGCCCAGAGTCTAGTCACACAGAGCATAATTGTTTATCTGGAACAAACGAAGAAAGAACACTGCCTCCCCTGCTAGCCCCTGATTTTCCTTATGAAGATAAACAAAGGGAGGAGATGGGGTTTATGGACAATGGAAAGGCTTATCAAGGTGGCTCTGAAGTGGCAGAGAACCTGTCCCCAGCACTCAGGGAGCTTATTGTCCCCTAGCAGCTGTGTTCTAGCAAGATCTATTGCTATTCTGAAATGAGTAATGTTCCAACAGAGCTCTCGAAACCTATGTCAGATGATCAGAACTTGGCCCTTTGTGAACGTTGCACCTTGGATAAGGTCACCGGTCAACCAGGCTCTGTGTGTGGTGACAAGAACTGGGAGGGAAGGGGCTGGCACCACAGCTAGAGAGGAGCACTTGCTATGGCTTAATGAATTTTTATTCATGAGAGATCCCAGCAGGGGAATACACCTTTTCAATGAGTTTGTTTCCCTCAACCTTATTTTAAACCCCAAATGGCTGAGCAAGCGTGGTGCCCTCTCTTCTCATTAATAATAATAAAGAAAACAAGGAATGATCACAGCACTTGAAACTCTGCTAAGGAAGGTGTGAGATAAAACACAGAGGGCTTTACAGAGACCAGGCCATTATCTTTTCAGAAGCTGGAAAGATTTCTTTACGGATTATACGAAAAGAAGATCCAAGTTTCTGGAGCAAGGCTTTTGTTCGATGGCCAGAAGAGAACCCCAAAGAAGTCAGGATATGAGCTCTTAGGATGATTGGGAGCACAGATGCTCAAGTATAACAAACCACATAAATACAAGGAGTGATTACTTCATATTAGCCTGGCAAGGCTGTAGATGCATTTTTATAAAGGTAATTAAACTGTGGGGGTTAAGCGTGGCAGTAAAGACTCTATACCGATGCATACTGCTCAAATCCTAAGCTGCTAAGACAAATATCATTTTCAGCTTCTCCATACAGAAAGGCAATGGGCTGAACAGAAAGTGGGAAGGAGAGAGGGTGGGGGAGGGGCGGCCTCCACAGGGCTTAGTGTGCCAGGTCTAGGAAAAAAGTAAACCCAAAGGATATGAATCAATTTAATCTCTTTCGGTTTCCATATACTGTTACTTTCCCTTTAACGGTTTTATCAAATATTCATTTTCAAGAGGTTCATTCTACTTTATCTTTCTTGCTTTTGTCATCTGCACTAGTGAGTTGGAGTTTCTCAAAGAAAAAGGAACTGAAATCAATTATTGGGCTTAATTAGGTTGTATTCATCATGATTCCAGGGCCCAGGCCTGGCATTTCTGTGGTACCCTGCACTCCATCCACTCCAGCCACAGCTCTGCTGGTTTCTTTCTTTGTCAGAGGCAGGCTGGGCCTGGTGATGGTCATCCACTATACAGAGTCAAGATTCGAACATTATTGATTTAGCATGCAGGTTCCTGGGCCCAGTTCTCATCAAGGGTCAGTATTTGTCAGGAAAGTTGAGATGGGAGGATCTTACACTCTTATTTACCAACCAGAAGACCAAAGACCAGAGTGGGGCAGTGAGTCACCCGAAGTGCCACAGTCCCCCAAAAGATCACATTCCATGCCAGGTTCCCAAGTCACCCCAATACTCCAAACAGTTTAATATTCTTACTCTATTCTTAAATGTCGATATAATCTTATGGGGGTGGGGATTACAGATCCTCCTGGGTTTCACACTGACTTTGGTGAGGTGTTGCATTGGCTCCAGGTTGGCTAGCATTCTGACCAGTAGTGCTACTGTGGTTGGGAACAGAACAGAACCCTTGACCATAGTATGGAGAAAGCCTTCTAGCTGAGGGGAAGGGCTCCATTGGGAGGAAGTGTTGAGAGACTGGTCTCACTTACTGAAGCTCCACAGTTGTGGTAAAATCACTGCAGCTTGTAGTTGAACTGCGAGGCCTGAGTTTACAGGAACTTTGGCCTGTGCCTGGATCCTTGACAGGTGAGCCAATTAGTGTGGCTCCCTGGAAGTCATCTTTAACTAGTTTCACATGTCCAATCCTCTCAGCGTTCAGTCTGTATTGGAATGCCATCTCATATTAGGGTAGGAATTGGTGTGTCTACCCTGAGAAGGGAGGTTGTCTTCAGGTCCTTAGGTGGCCCGTCATTTCTGATCAGAGTGGGGAAAGTGGGTACTCTTAAAGGCCACAAGAAAAGTTTTAGTTTGGTGTTAGATTTTTCTATTTTGTACAGCTCTCTAAAGACTTATTGGATTGAAGTCCATTAAGATGAAGGAGTAATCTTCTTAGATCTAGGATGGACTGGGTATGAGATACTGAATATGAAGCTGAAGACTTGCCTGACCATTCTTGCCTTCCAACACACTTGAGAAAAAGCAGACCTGGGGATCACCATGGTGATAGATCATGGAATCTTTCATTGGTGGGGTTTGGTGCAGGTGGGACAGAACCCACAGCTTGCAGTTGAGAGAGAAGTGATGGGCTCCAGACTATTCAGCAAGTCAGGAGAGGGAGGTCATGATTGGAGCCCCAGCCCAGTGCTCTCTGTTAGAACTCACCCCCCTCCCCCCCCGGTTTTAGCCAGAAAGTGTGATACCTTGAGCCCACACTCCTCCCGCCAGAGATGGTAAGAACCAGTGTTCAGATGATGAGGAATGTGTTCTTTGGCTAGCTCAGCCAAACAGTGAAAACTGCCAAATGGCAGCCTGGCTGGAGTCTCAGGGAACTTATTGTTCTGATAGGGGTAGAATTTCTTGCCAACTCTGATCTCACCCCCTTGGGGCTTTCTCCTAAAGGACTAACTTGGCCCAGGGGCTTTGTGAAAGCTTTTCAGGCCTGGCACAGTAGACTGCTGGGAAGAATTCTTCAAAGTTCTTACTTTCCATTAAGAACTCAATGTTGCTTTTGAACTTTTTTATTTTTTGAGACAAGGTTCCATATAGCCCACATTGGCCTCACACTTGCTATACAGCTGAGGATGACATTAAACTTTGAAGCCTCCTGCCTCTACCTACGACGTGCTGGGATTGTAGGTGTGCACCACCATGCCTGGTTTTAGGCAGTGCTGGGGAACAAACTCGGAGCTTCATGCATTCGAGGCAAACACTCTACTGACTGAGCTACATCCTTAGCCCTGTCATTGTTAACTTTTGAAATGCTCAGGATCAAGGAATTTTTCGTTAGGCAGCCTTAATCTTCTCCATCAGCCTGTTACACACCAAGTGGTTTCCATAAAAGGCTGAGGATACGCAGCAGCCAACTGCCATTCTCCAACCCATGTCACCATGCAGCAAACATGCCAAGAGCCAGGCAACCTCACCCACCTCTTTGTAGGATTTCTTTACCTCCATCAAGGAGTGCCAGTGTGCAATAGGTTTCCGTGGGTATGCCAGCATCTCATTCCAGTGGTCCCTGCCCAGGCCTTCAGCATTGATCCCCACGCGACAGACTCCTATGATCTCATTGTGGCCCACTCTGAGGGAGAAACAAAGGTCCTAGCATTGGCTATCTGACATGATCTCAGAAAGAGAGGTTCTAGGGGGATGGGACTCTACTCAGTGCACCAAACTTAGAACAATGAGCTCTGAAAACCCATGCTCAGCAGGGCCTTAGGCTGTCAGTGGCCTTTCAGCTTTGCCTAGCCTCTTGAGGTAGTGGTCACAGAGATATGAACAAAGGCTACAAACTTGTTTGGAATCTCAGGAAACAGTGGCAGACGGCCAGACTGGGGATTGGGAGTTGGTCTCTCCTCTTATTCGACTTGACCAGCACGTTACAACTTCTCTGGAGACATGAGCGCGTGGAAATAAATCAATCTACTTTGAGCATCATCTCTCCATCCCCCAGAGGCTAGGCTGTGATTTATTCACTCAGAAAGAACATAAATCATCACTCAAGTATGTTAGTCAAGCACCTACTCTGCCTGAGAACTTGAGCAAAAAATATCAAGGGTTGAGGCTTTCTTGTGTGTTTTCTCTCCTTCAGTTAAAACGGCAGCTGGAGAGAAGAAATCATGGGAGATAAAGTAGTTGAAAAGAGTTTCTGAGCCAGCCTTGGGGAGGCAGAAACAGAAAAAAGGAAGAAAAGGAAAGGAATTAAGTGGGATGGTAATTTGGGGTTCAGATTATGGAAGGTCTGGGCAATGGGAACTGTCCAGGAGGACCAGGAGGAAAGTGTCAAACAGATATGTCCTGAGTCTGGTGGCTGACTTCGGACAGTAATGGAGGATGCAGAGCCATTCTGCAGAAGTGGAGATGCTACAGAGGTGTTTTCAAGGACAAAAAATAGTACTTGGTGCCAGGTGGAAGAAAGGAAGCAGTGAGGGGTAAGTTCTGGGAAACTGGCAGGTGGAGTTATTCTTGATAGAAACAGGCCAGCTGGAAGGAGAGCTGGAGCCTTTGCTAAGGGGAAGTCTACCCTCTTCCTCAAGTTCCTGGGTCTTTCTTGAATGGAGCTATATTTGAAGACAATGGGCCCTATGCTGCACTGGAGGGGACTAACTACGCCCTTCTGGGCAGGCACCTACCTATCGTAGTCCATAACCGAGATGAGCAAGCTCACTTGATCCATGTTCTCTGGCGGAATGTCAAAGATGATGGCTTCATTGTAGACAGGGTTGAGGGTGTTCTTCTTGATGGTCGTTTTCTTCTTTTTCAGTCTCCGTCCATCACACAGCAGGGACACTTTGACGTAGGGATCTGTGCCAATGGGGGTCGATTAAGAAGGAAGTTTGTTAAACAGATTTTGTTGTTGTTTGTTTTGGATTGGGTTATTTTTAAGATAAGGTCTCACTTCTGCAGCTCAGGCTGACATCAAATTCATAACCATCCTCCTGCCTTAGTCTTTCCAAGTGTTGAGATGACAGGTGAGGGGAATCACGGCAGCTTTAAACAGATGTTCTTGAACATCATTTGCAGCAGAGGGACTGACGCCCTGGATCTACTGCTGTTCATCAGATGGTATCAGTGGATTGTTAAGATAATTAAATCACCTTGTATTTATGCAGCACACCTGTCTCCGAGGACACTCCATGCTTAATAAACACAGTCTTTAGCTACCTCTGTATTCTTGGGAGAGTACCTAGTGGAGTTTTACTAATAGGAAAGTTAGCCCCAATTCAGACAAGACACTTGCTCATGGATATACAGTTCCCAGCCATAAATCTCAGCCCCATCATGGTTGGCTAGCTCAAAAGGGTGTTGTAGCTAGCAAAAGCACTGCATTTCTTCCACTCTATGGAATTATCTCCTTTGTTTTTTGTTTGTTTTTGAGAGATGGTCTCACTTTGTTTTACTACGTAGCCCTGGCTGGCCTAGAACTCACTATATAAACCAAGTTGCCCCCCAACTCATAGAGATCCACCTGCCTCTGCCTCCCAAGTACAGGGATTAAAGATATGTGCCACCACAACTGGCTCCTCTGGGGTTTTGTTAGCATTTTAATCAAAGGATAAAAAGGGTTAAAATATGACTCAGTGATACCCAAGGAACAGCTATGTGTTAGAATGAAGCGAACGATGGTCACACTGCTGCTCATTGCTCATGTTCTCCCACTTGAAGACATGATTTTGGGTCCTGGTGTCTCAATAATTTTGTTTCCATTTGGCACCAAGAAGGGGGATGTGGCCCTGCTTGCCGCTTTCCTGGAAGCCTTTTCCTGGCTGCTTCTGAGAAGTGAAGGCAAAGGAACTGCGGCCAGGAGAGTGAGCAGGGTGGTCCCCTGAGATTCAGGGTAGCTGGATGGCACTTCATTTCTCTGTGGACTTTTGGATTCTCTTCATGCTGCAAAGAGATGCCTTTTATATTAAACTTCTATTTGCCTCTCTTTTAGCTTTCTGATTAGGTATTTTACGGTCATCTTTCTACTCTGAAATTTTCTACTCATTCAAATGTAGGGACACCTATTATCTCATAGGACAAGTGTCTTGGTCACCATCATAATTAGTATTTATGCTACACAGCTCAAGAAACAAGAGGACAACTCACAGGTAGTAATAGCTTTGAGACACTGATATGCGGGGACGCTTTCTTGTTCAGAAGCCAGGGCTTAGGTGAACCTGTCAGGAGGCATGAACCAAAGTAGCTGCTATCCTGGATCTACAGTTCCAAGGCCTATGGTCTGTCTCCTGGGTCCCTGAGCACCTACTAGGTCTCATACTCTCTGACATCATGCTGGGGAGGCAGATGAGGGCTACAGTTACATACAGTGAAAACTAAAGAAACCGCGTACCTGAGAGATGAGCTCAAGCTCCAAGCCTTGAAGGCGTTTCCATAGACATCCAAGAGAGCTGCTGACTAACCAGTGTGACAGTGGCAGCTGTGCCTTAACCACAGGGACACTTGGGTTTATTGAGGAACTGGGGAAACTGCAAGGAATTTAATTAACCTCCTATCTCTGACTACATAATTTCAGGGTCCCTCTACTCAGGGAAGCATTCGGTAAAGAAGAACAAGATTTGAAAGCCTACATGCTGCAGCTGTCTGGTTTCCACAGGTTCCTTCCCTGTGGATTTGCTCCAGGGCACTGTTCAGGTCATGGGAAGAGCCATTCCCAAGAACTATCTTTAACATTCAAGCCTTTCTGGGTGCACACTGATTTTGAAGGTGTCTTCAGGCTTGCGCTGCCTCATTCCTCTTTTCTTTCTAGTTCCAGACACTCCATTCAGAGCACATTTCCATGTGAGGAAAACACGAACAGCCATTCCCATGGGCCACCGGACTAATGCCTTCTTCCCCAACTCTCTCCATCCCTATATGGCATATTCAGTTTATAACATTCAGTGAGCAGAGTCCCTCTACAGGAACCAATATTCTCACCAGCATCCAAGAAGCTAATCAGAGATCAGAGATGACTGTCCCCCAGGGTGCTTCAGGGAGACATTTGTGGTGTCTAGTGGAGTGGTGGCCCCCAGATGGTCTTTGAAGCCTGTTCCTCTCTCTGATGCTCTGTACCAGGAGTACAAAAGCCAGCAAGGTATTTCCACCTCATTGTTGTGGGGGTGATCAGAATTCAGCATTTGGAATGTGCCAGGCTGTGTGCTAAGAAATGTATATCAACAAGTTTACTTCACATCTATCCTCTAAAACATTTACCATCATTATCTTCATTTCACAGATGGGAAAAATCAAGGCTTAGAGAGATTAAAGGACTTGCTTAGAATGTGACCCCAGGCCTGACTCCAAAGTTCACTTTTTAATCACTGGAGATATAGCAAAATGTACCAGAGGCAGCAGAGACAAAAGGGTTAACTCATTGCCTTTGTAGCACACTGATCTTTATTACCATTTTGCACTATTTTTATTGTCATGGTTCTAGAAAAATGGGCTTCGAGAATTGATTCTGGGCTAGTTTAGATCAAGGAGAATAGGAGGATCCTTGGTTTTAGAGGTCAGTACCATTTTAAGTCTAGAACAGAAAATAAGAAGTGCCATTCATGCTCTACTTTAGTCCAACGTCAGACCAGTCTGGGCTGAAGGCAACTGCAACCTCTTCCTTAAAAAACAATGTAGCATGAGGGGCCTTGGGCTTGCAGGCATCTAGATTCCTCATGCTATATGTAAATTCATTCATTCATTGTTCATTCAGTCAGTAGTACATATTTAATGAATGCTTATTGTGTTTCACACATTGCTCTACAGACTTGTATGCATCAATGAACAAAATAGGCATCTTTATTGCAAAGATCCTTGCATTTCCAGATTCTGCTGAGATTTAACATCAGATTCCAAACCTGGGTAGAGAAGACTGACAACTGTGAGAGGGAGGTTAGGACTTAGCATTAAAAACAATCCTTTTACCCCAAACCCTCTGATTTGCAGCAGCCCTTAATGATTACCTATGGCTTCACTCTGAGATTGCTCTTTAGCACATCAATTTGATTACAACCAGAGGAGATGGTGTTGGGGACTAGGGAAGCAAAAATCCTATTTCCCTCCGCCGCCTCGAGAGTCCTCAGTGAATTTCTGTCCTTGTATGCACTTATTTTGGTATTAAAATGAAATCTACATTGGCTGTATTTTGGGAGAAGCTGGCTTGCTGTTGCCTGAGAGCTTTTCCCATGTCAGCAGAGGCTCATAGTGTTCTTTGCTGCATCCTGATGGGTGTGAGCAGCTTTGGGGGAAGATGAGCTTGAGGTTGGGCACTTGGTAGGGGCCTTTGGCCTGAAGGAAGCACTGCAGAGACAGTTGGAAGCAGGAACAGAGACTTGAGGGTTTCAAAGCCACAACAAATGAGTCTTACAGAATTTAGTATTTCCCAGCCACTTTTCCCTGAAAACTGAGTTTCCAAGCCCTGAATCCTCATCTTCTTCCATCTTCATAATGTGTATCTCGACCCAGATATTTTCAGCTGGACTATCAGCTCCCTATTTTCTTTTTTCCTCTGTCATATTGGGTACTAAATCCATGGTCTTGTGCTGCTAGGCAACTGCTCTACCACTGTGCTACACACCCACTGTGCTGGATAGCTTCAGTTGTCAACTTCATACACCTGGGTAAAGGGAATCTCAACTGAGGAATTTCCTCCATTGGATTGAACTGTGACCATTCTGTGGGGCATTTTTATTATTGAGTGATATGGGAGGGCCCAGCCCACTGTGGGTGGTGCCACCCCTGGGCAGGTGGTCCTGTGCTGTATAAGAAAGCAGGCTGAGCACAGGCCAGGGGAGCAAGCCAGTAAGCAGTGTTCCTCCATGGTCTGTGCTTCAGTTCCTGCCTCCTGCCTCCAGGTTCCTGCCCTGACTCTGTCAGTAATAAACTATGACCTGGGAGATGTAAGATAAAACAAAACCCTTCTTCCCCAAGTTGGTTTTGGTCAGTGATTTTTTTTTTTTTTAACTATTACAGCAACAGAGATACAAACTAGGATACCCAATACCCCACTGTTTTTTGTTTTTTGTTTTTTTTTAATAGCTCAGGCTGGCCTTGAACCTGCAATCTTCTTGCCTCAGGCTCCTAAGTGCTGGGATTTCAGGTGTGTGTATTTGGTACTACCATCATCATCTCATTATGGCAACTGCAATCATATTTCTAGGAAAATGAATAATACAAAGGAAATGCATGGAAAATTCTTCAACATGTTCTTATTCAGGTTTGGAGGAGTCTCCTGTGTGGTTTTATACTGATAATCAGAATCATCCGAAGGGCCTATTGGGTAGAGGTCTCAGGCAACAAACTGACTCTTTCTGACCTTCGGCATCCTGATACAGCTCAATGCTCTCTGTGCCATTCTTTGGAAGGTTTCACCTCTATCAAGTCTCAGAACAGTTTGAACTAAAAGGGAGAAGGCAGTTCCCAGGCCTCAAGCTATTGCTCTGTTAGCTCCAAACAGAGATAAGTTCTCCTATGACAATGTGCAGACTGTCAGGGCAAGGATCAAACCTCCTACAACATGTCCAGCCTGCAGGCCTCTGCAGCTGCTCTCACACAAGATCTCTTTGTGGCTGGAAATACATTAGATTCCTATTCAATTGTAGCTCAGCTGTCTAAGGGCTGAGGCCGAGGGCGAGACCAGGAGCCCTGCAGGAAAAACTCTAACACAAATGCACTTTGCTTTTCGGTAGATTTGTTCTTTTGACGCAGGATTCAGGGTTGCTGCCCTAGGCCCATGTGAACTGGCTAACATTTACATTCCAACTCCACACAACTCTTTCAGGTTCTTGGACCCAATATTAACTCAGAAAATTCTTTAATTTTTTTTCCCTCCTGACTCTCTTCTTTTACTGAGAAACAGAATGATATTAATAGTAATAGTCTCTACCAGGTGCTTGCAATGTGTCAGGAACAATGCTAAACATTTACATGGATTAGTTCACTTATTCTGAATACAATCAGTGCAAGGTATTTTTAGCCCCACTTTTTAGATTAAGAAAGTACTACAGTTTAGACCTCAAATGTCTCTCAAAGGTGTTGAAGGTCTGATTCCCAGCCTGTGGCACTACCACTAGAAGGAATAGCCCCACTTCTTTGCTCCTTGTTTCCTGGCTGACATGAGGGGAAAGGGTTTCCTCTGCCAGGTACTCCTGCTGTACTGTAAGCTGTTACCACAGGCCCAAAGCAAAAGGGTCAAGTGGCTCTGACTGAAACCTCTGAACCTGTGAACCAAAACAATCCTTTCCTTCTTTAAATTAACTATCTCAGGTATATTCCATCACAGTGGCAGCCAGCCAGCACAGAATCAGGGTCTTTACATAAGAAGGAAGAGTGCAGAATTCAGATGCAGGCATTCTGCCTCCCAAGCTGGTGCTCCTGCCCTAAGAACAGTGGCAATTCTTGGCTTTTCTTCCTGAACACTCTTCCAGACCCTACTCTTTGGACTTCAGGCAGGGGTAAGAGAGGTACCTGAATAGCCTGTGATGTCCATTGCCTTGAGATTGCGACACTTGATCACTGTGAGCGTGAGCCTGCCTGCCGTGGGCAGGTAGCAGAGGGAGAACATGATCTCTCCCAAGTCCACACTTTCCTGCAAAGAAGCAGATGAGAGGGCAGGTGAGGAGTACTCGCTGTCTGAGCAATAGCTGTGGGGAACCCTAGGGCCCCAGAGAAGCCTTAGAGCGGCAGTGTCATGTGTTTAGTGTCTGGGAGTGACTTGGAACAAAACATAATCATTACAATACTGTCCCTTCAAGCAGAAATCACCCCTTCAATGTTCCTTCTTGGTTTTTGTTTTAAATTTTGAGAAAGCGTCTCATATAAGCCAAGCTGACTTTGAAGGTCATTGGCAAAGCAGCTAAGGATGATCTTGAACTTCTGATTTTCCTGCTTCCATGTCCTGAGTGCACTGGGGTTACAAGCATGCATCACCATACCTGGTTTATGAGGTGCTGGGGATTCAAACCCAGGGTTTTCTATATAATATACCAGGCAAGTACTGTACAACTGAGCTACATCCCCAGCCCACCCTTCTTGCTTTTGATCAGACTCTGGTCCTATCTTTTCATCCTGCTTTAGCCTGATTCACTCTATGTATGCCCTTGGCTTCAGAGCCTTGGTGGTTTATCTTCCCCTGACTGTTATTGACCCTTGACCTCCCACCCATCTTGATAGAGGCTCCACGCCCTCTTCCAAGGCATTTCAGCTCTTTTCTGCTTTGTTTCTCAGCTCATTTGTCCTTCAACAACCTGGCCATCTTGGCCCCAGGCTCTACCTTCCTGTCTAGGTGTAGATGTTCAGGAACTGATACCCTGCTGAGGACATGCTGCCAACCAGCCTCCATTCCATACTTTATGTCCAGCCTTGCATCAGCTTTGTCCTTTTCCCTTAGACGTGGTCATCCTTCAAAAACAAACCTGGCAAGGAGCACGTGCTCTGTTGCCTCTCCTGCCCCAGAACCATCACAGTCAGGGATCCCTGGAAGCATCTGAGCGAGGAGAGAATGTTCCTTCCTAGAAAGTCTTAGCATCTTCTTAGAGGGATGGCAAGCTTGTCCATCTATTGTATTTGATAGCACCTCGCCGGATTGCTTTCTCTGCCTGTTCCCTACTCATGGAAAGGGGGTACATATGGCTTAGAATTCAAATGGAACTGTCTCCCAGAAGTGAGGAGGAGGAGGTCTGTGTTTGAGGTGGCTCTGATTTCAGATAGGGTCCTCTACTTGTTCATTTATCTATCTATTCATTCAGTCAAAAGTATTTATTGGACATCTGCTATGTGCTAGGTGTTGATTTATAAGCAAGAACAAGAGACAAAAATCATTACCTTCATGGAGCTTACATTTTAATAGAGCCAAAGACCACACACACACACACACACACACACACACACACCACATGTATTTTTAAGGTAAACAGCTTTTCCACTGCTGCCAAGTTGGGGGGGGGGCAGGGGCTGCTATGTTCAAGATTCAGCTTCACTTGTGCCGTATCTGAGGGAGGCATTTGCTGCTGGAAGTGTAATGCACGTTAATACTGCTTTACAAGAGGTGCTAAAGATCACACTCCTCCAAGATGGCCTGGCATGTGAAATTCGAAAAGTTGCCAAAGCCTCAGACAAATACCAAGCCCCTCCTTCTGTGCTTACAACAATTGTGATGAGCCTGTGTACATCAGATTTGTGGAAGCCCTTTGTGCTCAGCACGAAATCAGCCTTATCAAGGTTGTTGACAAGGAACTAGGGGAGTGGGTAGGCCTCTGTAAAACTGATCGAGACAGGGAAATCCATAGTGTTGTCGTTGTGTAGTGGTTAAGGACTTTGGTGAAGAATCTTAAGCCAAGGATATCATTGAGGAGTACTTCAAATGCAAGAAATGACCAAGTTAAAAAAATTGGCTCATTTTCTTAAAAATAAATAAATAAAAATTTAGAAGGCAAATAAACTAGTCAAACATATTAAGGAGAAAAAATTCAGACAGAGAAGAGGGATATAAAATGACTGTGCAGGAGGCTATAGTTGTAGAAGTTTTATCTTGGGAAGAGCTCTCTGACTTCTGAGAAGAAACAGAGTTGAGGGTGACACCAAGGTTTTTACAAAGAACCATCCTCTGTTGGAGACTCCTGAAGTCTTGACCTCACAGGAGAACTACCCAAGACAGCCTCTATGCCAACCCTTCTAGAGCATGTAGTACTAGTGTTTCCCTCTAGAGGCTCTAACACTCACCCTGCTCCTGTCTTTGTGCCTACCTAGCCCTCTGGGTCAAATCAAATACTAGGAGCAGTGGCAAAAGGTGACTCCCTGCAGCTCCAGGACTGAGGTCAGAGCCAGAGAACCTTAGAGTTAGCCACTCCCTCTAGCACCCACCACCCTGGCCTCCACAGAGCCAGTGATAGAGGACCTACCACTGTGGAGTCCATCCATAGATGACACATCTCCACTTTGAGGCTCTCAGTAGCTGTGTACAGGGACTGGCACCATTGTTCTCAGCATTTGCTCAGGTTGAAGAGCCTTTTCAAGGGGCTGGGGTGATGGGTACCTGAGTTTGAATCTCTAGTACTCACATAAAGCTGGGCATGGTCATATATACCTAGAATCCCAGCACAGGGATGGAGACAGGCAGATCCTGGGAGCTGCTGGCCAGTCTAGCCAAAATGGTGGGCCCTAGGTTCAGTGAGAGAGACTCTGTCTCAAGGAAATAAGGTAGAGTAATAGAGTAGGACAGCCGGCATCCTCCTCTGGCCTCTGTGTGGGTGTGCACACTCATACACATGAGCATGTTCACTCAAAGATACACAAAAATAATAATAAAAGGAAAGCTTTGTCCAGCTAGCTAGCTGAATCCCCAACCTTTGGGAGGAATGTTGCTCACACTTTCCTGAGAAGCATCCTTGCTAGCTCATTCAGGGAGCACCTCATGGCAACTCCCTGAGACCACACTACACCCACGTTCATTAGTTGGTCCATACTCATCTGCTGAGTGCTTGCTAGAGGCAGGGTATTGTGTAATGAATATAGTCCTTACCCCCTTGACATACACATGGTCCCAGGCCCTGGTACTATGGAAATGTCACCACCCCCTTCCTGTGGCAGGGGTACATCTGTGTGGTCAGTGGTATACCTGGATAAGTATGCCATCTCCCTGAGGCTCTGAGGTACAAGCACAAACCCATCTCCTCTTATTTCCCTTAATAGCCCTCCAAGTTTGATGCTGCCCAAAGTTCTAGAAACTCTCAAACTCAGTACAGTAACAGGAGCTAACAGTGTGTGCTGTTCATTTGCCTGCTTAGTCCTTTGCTGACTTCCCTCAGTGAGCCTTAGCACAGCACTGCAAGGTGGGTGCTCCTATTACCCTTGCTGCACACAGGAGGAAATGAATGTTCCTGAAAGTAAGGACTTGCCTGAGGTTGCATGACCAGCTAGTGCTTTACTGACAGACATTCATATGTCAATGTCCTTGTTCAGACACCCCCAGCTCTCTCCTCGTCCTTTGGCTTCTGAATCGAGACTCATATTCCCAGTTCGTGCTATGGGTCCTCGCTCCGTCTTCACCTGATTCTCTTCTGTTTGCCAAATTCTGCTCCACAGAGCTCTCTTTTGCCAAAATGCCTCTCTATCTCCTTAGCTTGACAATTCTACGCCTATGTAGAGCTCATGGTTTTGTCAGCTATGAGTGTCAGCTCAGGGTCCAACCCAACATCCCACAGTGCTTCCTATCCATAACTAGCTCATGGGAATCGCCAAGTTCCCCTTTTTCTCAGTTGTGCCCTCCTCTAACATAGAATGACAAGAGACCCTTAGGGGGCAGGATCCTTGCCTTACAAGTCTGTTTCAGAGATGGTGAACAGCCCACACAAGAACTGCACAGATGTCTGTGGGAAGGGATGATTACATTTTAGCCAAAAGAATGCTGACAGTGATGATTCTCTATATCCATGGTATGAACAAGTCAGGGCCTTGGGAGACTTCTGGAAGCCCCTATGGTTCCTCTGACAGGAAGTAAACAAAGGCTGCTGTCATAATGTTTCCACCACAGCTATGCCATGGTAGCCCAGTGGCACTTCCACAAACTGTCTCTTTTAGAGAATCTGAGTTGGTTTGTTTATGCATTTGGGAGATTTGCCTTGAATACAAGGGATCCCTCAGAGGTAAACGGAGGCTCCTAGGGCTTTGTGACTGGCTCCCCAGGATGGCTCCCCCTAGGGGAGCACTGGTCCCAAACATTCCCTCTGTTTTTAGGACAGTCCTTTCTTACTGGACTGTAGCAGCTGGGGGCATGTGGGTGTTAGGTGTGCGAAGCAGTATGGAATCCCCAGGCTCTGCACCCCACAGTGACTTACATCCTCCACCAATGAGCCCACAGACACAAGGGCTGGTCCAGAATCCTATCATGATGTAGAGGCAGAGAGGAAATAGGGCTGTGGGTACTGAAGCCCAGTTCTAGGGGCTTCTGTTGTGGGGGCCTGATGGCAAGGTAGCTGATAGGACTCAGTGGACTGAGGGGTATTGTTCTGCTGCACAGGCAGACAATACAGGACTGGGTTATTTGCTTAAGCAAAGTAGGTTAATTCCAAGTAAACTGAGAGATGGGAGGTAAACAAATATTCAGCCAGCTTCTCCTGGTAGCCATCCTCCCTTGCTGGGAAGTGAGGCTCCAGCTGGGCCTCAGCCCTCTCTGCCCTGACCGCTTTCTCAGGAGGTTTCAACCCAATTCTACACACCTTGCCAGCCCTTTATCCTCATTAGGAATCTTTGAGACTTTGGCCTTTAATAAAAAATAGGGGTGACAGGGGCTGCAGACCAGCTGGTGCCTTATTACTTTCATCTCTACCTGATGTCAGAGGCCGCATCAGGCCAGACTAGTAATGAGCTCCCAGTGTGGGAGAGGTCATCGATGAGCAGAAAGCAGCAGAAACCAACTTTGCCCTCTCCTACTAACCTAGGGGCTCTTAGGGCTGATCTGAGTTCAGTAGCAGCTATTTCAGTCCTGGCTGAAGCTAGGAGGAAAAGCAGGAAGTTGGTTCCTAGAGAAATCTGTCCTAAGTGCAACCTGTACCTCAACCCACCAATGTTCCTGCTCATAATAGCAGCATG